ACCATCCCCCTGCCTTGCTTCCGCTTTTGCGGCAGCAAGTTGATGCGACGCCTCTGCTTGTTTGTACGCAATCTCCTCCCCTTCCCCGGTCCTCGTCCGCTCCGCCAACGGCGCCTTCAAGGCACCAGCAGTTCGTTGGCCCTCTTTGTTTGCGGCCGGGCCGAGGCGGACGACGCGAAGCGTCTAAATTTAGAATAATAGTAAGAAGAAGAACAAGAAAATTAAGAAGAATATAGTAAGAAGAAGAAGAAGCCATGGCAATTTACTCAGAGTTCTGCGGGCTGCCGGGATGCGAAACCGTGCGAAACCTATGGCATCCTAACCCTTTAGCTCTAGGGTTTAGGTTTAGGGTTTTAGGGTTTAGGGTTCAGGGTTTAGGCTTTAGGGTTTAGGGTTGGGTGGCCCTGCATTCAACAGAAGCCGGACACCAGAGACTCCGACGTCTGCTCGTCAAGATATACTCCTGAAGGCTGCCATCAACCAAAACCCATGACAAACCCTAAACCCCCTGAAACCCCAAACCTTGCACCCCCTAAACCCTAAACCCTAAACTCTAAACCATAGAACCCTAAAACCCTAAACCCTAAACTCTAAAACCCTAAAACCCTAAAACCCTAAACAAGACCTATACACCCTAGACCTTCTAAGCCCGACCTAAAGCAAGTCAGAGGTGCCTCCTTCGATTCTATCGAAGGAGAGCGGGCGCCGAAGGCGGTGCGCAGAAGGTGGCATTGCTCCACGGGCTTCGGGTTTAGAGTCGAACCAAAAGCCCTAAACCGCGGGGGCATAAGGGGTTTAGGGTTTAGGGTTTAGGGTTTAGGGATTAGGGTCTAGGGTCCTCGGCCTAGGGTCTAGGGTCTAGGGTCTAGCGAGTCTAGTGGATCTAGATGTCGAGGTCTGCGAGGGAGAGAAGACATAACTGCGAAACGTGTGAGTTTCTGCTTCACACGTGGAATAGGGTTTTGGCATGCTTTACACAACTTACAACAAGGAACCCTAAACCCTAAACCCTAAACCCTAAACCCTAAACCCTAAACCCCCCCACGGAACAGTGTTGCTGGTTGCTCAGGCTTCTCAATGAAGCCCTAGAGCCGAATGCCAAATCTGAGAAGCTTCAGATTCAAGGAAACAGGTGGGGAGTTTAGGACTCAAATAAAGGAAACTACGGGTGGGGAGTTTAGGGTTTAGGGTTTAGGGTTTAGGGTTTAGGGTTTACGGGTGGGGAGTTTAGGGTATATAGGGCTTCTATAAGGCTTCCATACGGTAGAAAGACCTTCTATAAGGCTCCTATAACGGTAACTACCCACCTGAAAATGTCCGAGATTCAGAGTGAGTCATCCCAAGCCCTCAAACACACTTGTTGCTTAGGGTTTAGACGGTTTAGGGTTTAGGGCTTCGGGGAAATATAACCGAGACTACAAGCCCAGAAAAGCTCGGAACTTTGGGCTTTTGGGTTTGAGGGCAGAACCCTAAACCCTAACCCCAAAGCCTAAACCGCAAAACCACTAAAACAACCCTCAAAACATAAGACTAGACTTCGAAGGGGCGGGAGGAAATCGCAAATTTCGACGAAAGCAATACTGGCCCCTAAATCCTAAACCCTAAACCCTTGCTCCTTTGGCTGCAAAGGCTTTCAGTATTCCAGGCTGTTGGGGTTACTGAGGTCCGTAAGGCGTTTAGGGCTTTCAGGGGTTTAGGGTTTTGTGTGTCTTAGTGCTTTTGGGGTTGAGGGTTGCTAAATGTGTTCAGGATGTTTAGAGGCTTGGGGCGGGATCGTGGGTTTAGGACTTCTAGGGTTTAGCATTTATGGAGTTTTAGTAGGATGCAGTTCAGCCTAAGTCACCTTTTGCAGTCCTAGCCCGATGTCGGCTCAGTGGGGAGAGTCGCCGAAAGAGGCCAAAGGCAAGCCACTGTCGGCGCCCATTGCCTCACTTCTCTGGACTCCGGGTTCAGGATGATTTTGGTTTAGGGTTTAGGGTTTAGGGTTTAGGGTTTAGGGTTCAGGATGATTTTGGTTGAAAGCTTTCTTGCGTCCAGGGTTCAGGGTTTTGGGTTTAGGGTTTCAGGGTTTAGGACCTGTTGGACGGAAACGGCTGGCCACAACAGCTAAAATAGGGTGTTGGGGACTCTAGTACAATCATAGTACGAAACTTAGGCACCTAAAACATGTAAGAACTAGATGAGGGTAAGGCAGAGCCCATAAAGAGTCTCCGAAGTTGCTTGCTGCACTACCGAGCTGCCTGATATGTCGCGACCTGTCGTTTGACACAGCGACACGATGTCAGGTTTTCCCGGTCTTGCCTTTCCCACCTGGGGGTTTCCGAAAATTGGGGTACGTTATTTTGGGGTCCTTATAATAAGGATCCTATCATTTAGGGTACTATATTAGGGTCCCCTATTTTCGGAAACTCCCACCTGTAGAACAAGCAGAGGCTCTGGACGACCATCAAGACCACCACCAGCAGGAAAAACATGAGCTGAGTTGCGGAGTAGTCTTGCACAACAGGAACCCAAGCGCCCCAGATCAAGCCACCACACATATAGGTGTACTCATAAGCCAGGAAGCAACACAAGAAAGCCGCGCAGCGCTGCACCAGGCCGTCGCCAAACGACAGAATGCATCTAAGCATGCGGAGCATCACTGGATAGGTCAGTGGGAATGTCAGCAAGATGATGAGTACCTTAGGGGCTGGGTACCCTAGCCCAAAAAAGGTTGACCTTTTGAGTTACAACGGGATTATATAGGACCCAAAAGGTTAAAGGTTATCTACTCAGCACCTAAGGTACCCAGCCCAACGTCTGGGCCAGAATGTACTGCAGCGTTGAGGAACAACCTGCCAGCCGCGCAGATTCCTCGCAAGAGCCGTTGTCACAGCCCAGCACATTCACGGAGGAATACAAGATCATCGGTAGGCAGGCCGTCAGACACAATGGCCACGGTACGTAGATTTCATCGCCAATCTGCATCATGACAATGTCACGAAGGACCCCTGGGGGCAGTCTAGAGTGATGGTACCCTAAACCCTAAACTCTAAACCCTAAAACACTACGTCCTAATGCGCAGAACTCCCTGGAACCCGAATTCGGTTTTAACCTCAGGCCCTTGACCTCTACCTCTAGCTTACGGTTTAGGGTTCAGGGCCCAGGGTTTGTAGGGTTTAGGGCTCTTCGTATATACTCCCCTATTAATCAGTGGCATTTCATTGCTAGCTACTGCCAAACTGCTGAGCGATTATTCTTCATGCTGCCCTAAACCCTAAACCCTAAACCCTAAACCCTAAACCCTAAACCCTAAACCCTAAACCCTAAACCCTAAACCCTAAAGCCTGTTGCAGAAGAACTCTCTGCCTCGAACGTAGGCATTGAAGCGGTCCAACGGATCATCGGTGGCCGGGTAGTGCACAAACTTTTGAACCTTCACCTTCGCAAGGCAAGGCGTGAGCCCCTAAACCCTATAAACCCAAAACCCGAAGACCCCTAAAACCCTAGAAACTTTAAAACCCTTAGAAACCCTAAAACCCTTAGAAACCCTAAAACCCTAAACCCGATAAACCCTGAAACCCTAAAAACCCTAAAACCCTAAACCCGATAAACCCTGAAACCCTAAAACCCTGAACTGCCGAGTTTGGGCCCAGGAGTTGGCCCGTCACTCGGCGACTCTGTCATCGGCAGGTATACCCCAAACCCTAGGGTTTGGGGTTTAGGGGTTTAGGGTTTAGGGTTTAGGGTTTAGGCTTTAGGGCCTACCTGAACCCTAAAATACACAACCTACCTTTTGAGGGATCCTTATTCTGATTTCTTGTTATGAGTCCTCACAAAGATAGGTTGTTTGGGGTCCAGGTAGACCCCGGATCTCTAAACCCGGGTGCTTTCCAAGTTGGGAGTTTCGGCCTTCGTTTCGGGGGGCTCAGGAACTGGCTGAGCAGGACCAGCCTTTCTGAGGCCCTGAACCCAAGACCCGAACCCAAGACCTTAGTCCCTATAAGCCCCAAACCCAAAATATAAAACAAACGACACCCTAAACTAGGGTTTCGGGTTTAGGGTCTCGGGGTTTGCAGCTTTGGGGGTTTAGGGTTTAGTGTTTTAGGGGAGACGCTCAACAAAGAACCCGATGCCTCCCCCTCATCCACGGCATCAGCGCGGCGAGTGGGCAAGTCATAATTGCTAAAGACGTCCTGGCGTTGGTCTGGGCGGCTTACTATTGGAGTAGGGTTTTTGAGAGGCCCTCATGGATTTTTGTTCACGAGATTATTTTTGGTGGACCATTTGCCATCAGCCAATCCAACCTTCTCCGGCGAAAGAGACATACAAAGCCCGCATGGACAACGCCTAGGAAACCCTGGAAACAGTCTCTCATCCCGCTGCTACAAGAGTTTGTTGTTCAGGGTTTAGCAGACGGGCCTTAAGACTTAGATTTGAGTCTTCCGGTGTGCTTTTGTAGAAAAACTAAACTAATGTAGAAGCCGTATTAGTTAAAATAGGGTTGTGGAGTATATTATACTATAATAATACTCAGGAACCGCTAAAATAGTATAGAAAATTATTTAGGCCCCTATATTAAGGACTACAAGGTCACATGTTCGGGTTTAGGGTTTAGGGTTTAGGGTTTAGGGTTTAGGGTTTAGGGTACCCTAAACCCGAAACCCTAAACCCCACACCCCAAACCCTGAACCCTAAACCCTAAACCCTCAACGCTAGGGTTGAGGGTTTAGGATCCAACCGCTTCGAAGTTGGTTTCCGGTGGAATTTCTAAGGGTTTCTCCAGATCCTAAACCGTAAGCCCCAAACCCTGGAACCTAAACCCAAAATAGATGTTGCTCGACGCAACTGCGACCTGCCCACCTCCCTGCGCCAGTCCCAGTCCCGCCCTTGCCCTCCCCCAAAACCTGCGCCCAAAGCCCAACAAGATTTAGGGTTTTGGGCTCTTGGAAGGGATTTAAAAACACTGGCAACCGAACTGAAAGTTATGTGAGTTAAAAAAATGTACATGTCTCGAGGCTGTCTCCATCTTCTCGGATTCCAGCACCCACCTCGTTCCCACCCTGACCCTCAATATCACATGTCGTGCCTAAAGGCCTAAACTGGAACAACTCGGAAACAAAGGTGGACATGATTTGAGTTTGGGAATATAATTAACTAGAAATGGAAAGTTAAACCTGGCCAAACAAAGTTGTCTCCTGTCTTCGTCCAATTGCTTCAAGGTTCCAAGTTTTCGGAAACTTGATCCTAAACGCTAAACCCTCAAACCCTCAAACCCCTAAACCCTCAAACTCTCAAACCCTATACCCTAGACCCTAAACCCTAAACCCTCAAACCCTAAACCCTAAACCACCCAAAAAAAAAAACAGAGTTCCAAAAAAGAACCCTGATAAAGACCCCGGGTTTCTTAAGTAAGTTTCTATGTTAGGAGCATTGATTTTTTGTCGTTCAACTTTTTGTTCACTTCCTGCATTACAGGAAATCACAGGTGGGGAGTTTAGGGTGTATAGGGCTTCTATCAGGCTTCTATAAGGTATATACCTTCTATAAGGCTCCCATAGCGGTAACTACCCACCTGAAAATGTCCTAGACTGCAGGGTTGTTGCATACCCGTGTTCGGTGCGATGATACTCGAAACCCTGGCACGTCGCCCTTGCGCGCCATCTCTCAGTGGTTACGCACGCGAGAGTTCTTCACTGCAGCCCATATTTACCCAGACAGCCCCATACCCCTTGACTAAGGAATAAACCTACATTTTGGGGGGCCTTTTATGGTTTCAGGCCTCTTCCTTGATTAAGGGGTATTGGGCTCCCTGGGTACTCAGCTCACGATCTGGGTCCAGCTCCCCCTAAACCCCTAAACCCTAGATCCGCCCTAAGGTTCCCCACTCTTGACGATATAAATCCTGCATTACCTTACGGGCCCTAAACCATGGGAGTTATGGTAAATTCCTTATGGGTAATGCAAGATTTATATCATCAACCGTAGTACTCCCTTAAGGATCACGGTTTAGGGTTAAGGGTTTAGGGTTTAGGGCTCAGGGCTTAGGGTTTAAGGTTTAGGGTTTAGGGCTTAGGGTTTAGGGTTTAGGGCTTAGGGTTAAAGGTTTAGGGCTTAGGGTTCATGGTTTAGGGTACATGAATTCAGGGTCGGCTGCGCAACTCTGGAAGCTTCCAGCCTCTCTGGCATGCTACACCCAGACCCCCACGATCCTTTACGGTTTAGGGTTTGGGGTTTAGGGTTTAGGGTTTAGGGAATGTATCGGAGTTAGGATTACATGCTATACCCAGACCCCCACGATCCGAAAAACAGAACCCATTCTAAAACACAAATATATGGGAGTGGATGTAGGGACCTTAACTAGAATAGAAATTTGGGGTCCATGATAGTATCTGCATTGTAAGGAACCCCCAAAATAGTATAGGTAATTTGTTAAGGCCCCTATATTAGTATTAGGGAGACCCTCACGGATATAGACCCTCTCGGTAAGCTATATTAGGAATTAGGGAGACCCTTAGGGATATAGACCCTCTCGGTAAGGTCCCTTTTAAGAGAGCCACAAGTAGGGCTAAGAAGGGTCCCCTTCGAGGGGTCTCCCCGCTACTACCTGGGAATGTAAACGAATACAAATAGAGCTAAAAGTAACAACAACGGTTTAGGGTTTAGGGTTTAGGGTTTAGGGCCCCCCCCGCCCTATATGGGGTCCCCTAAGTTTCCAGCCCATTCAAGAAATATTCCGAACATTTAGCCAGTCCCTTCCCAAGCCACAGACACAACCCATTGGTTTCATGGCCCCTCAACCCTAAACCCCTTCATGGCTTAGTCGCCTGCGAGATCCTGTCTCTGGCTATTGACAAAGCTCGTTGGTTTAATGGTTTAGGTTTAGAGCTCAGGGGATTTAGGGTTGGGTTAATAGCTTAGTGGTGGTCTCTGTCCAACAAGTCTTGGCTGTATGACAGAGAAGATGTAAGGTTGTTACAGGACAAAACGCCCATGTATGTCCCTTACATACCCGCATGTCGAACCCCAGAGGCAAATTCGGATGCAATTTGGGGTTCTGACACAGATGAAACCCTAAACCCCCAAGACCCTAGCCCGAAACGCTAAGCTCCTGCAGTTGCTTCTCGATGGCATCGCGGTCAGAAGGCTCAGAACACTTTGCTTCCCGGACATCGAAGTCTGCCATTTGATCCTGGAGTTGGGTTTCTAGGACTCGGGGGGACTACGGGGGTACGTCTCATGCTGCCTACTAATCAAGTCGCGGTCAGGGTGGCATTTTGGCTGTTGGTGGCTCTGCGTTCATTCTGATTGTAAATGGGTAGTTCTCTAAATTAGGGTCCCTTATAGGGTCCCCAACGTAGTACGGCACTGATATAAAAAGGACCCTAAAAGAGACCCTGATTTAGAAAACTACACAAATAGTGTCTGTTGAATTGAGGAACCTCCGCCGGTAATGGTCGTGGCCTCTTCGCGCCTCTCCACTCTCTCCCGGTCTCTTCCAGACTTGCCAGAACGTGGAAATCTCGCGAACCCCGTATAAAAAAAAAACAGAAAACAACATAATGCTCTAAAATCACTCTTTCAACCTGTTCAAGGAACCCTATACTACCCCTAAAGGAACCGATTGTCTCCCAAGAGGAACCCTATACTACCCTTGCAGGAAGCTGCAAGATCCGCTATAGTCTAGCTGGTTAGGATACTCGGCCCTCACCCGAGCGACCCGGGTTCGAGTCCCGGTGGCGGAATATTGTTGGAACACCAACCCTCCCGGGCTAGGTCCGGGCTTTCCTGCCTCTCCCGGATCTTGTTTCGCGTCTATTGGGCTTCGGGATAGGCTTCCAGCTTGAGACTTCGAAGTCTTTGGGTTAGTTTCACGGGGCAGACGAGGCAATGAATTCGAAGCCTCAAAGCCCTAAACACCTGGCATCAGCCCTTCCAGCCTGATTGGTGTTACCGTCGCAGTCGCCATCATCATCAACATCATCATCAACATCATCATCATCATCATCATCATCGTCGTCGTCGTCGTCATCACCATCATCCTCATCACCAGTAGAAGTCGCAGCAGCAGCAGCAGCAGCAGCAGCAGCAGCAGCAGCAGCAGCAGCAGCACGAACGCCGCCATGACCAACATGGGCTTCTTGCTTGCTTTCCATCCCTGTGATCGTCCTGGTATGTTCTGGTCATCATCGCCATCAACATCGCCGCCCCACCTCCACCACCGTTGCGATCATCATCATGCCAAACAGGAACGTCATCGTCGTCATCATCAAGCACCATCCCAATCATAACCACCATTGCGCATTATCACAGTCGTCATAAAGAAACACAATCACCGCCTGATTTGTCATTATCAGCAGCATCAAACACAATCATCATCAGCGTTGCCAGCTGCTAGCACTCACATGGAGGTGGTCTGAATGCCCATCCCAAGCCCCAAACCCTCTCCCCCTCCAGTCCAGGATAAGCTCGTGATGGCGAATCTTCATGCGGAAGGAGAAGAAGCCTGATGAATCCCAAGCCCTACAGCCTACATGTCTTAAATCGTTGTAGCCCGAACTGACAAATTCTCACAACACCAACCAATGGGATCCGGAAACCCTCAAACCCAAGCCCTTAGTGGGAAGCAACGAAACTTTCTGGATTCGGATTTAGGGTGTTGGGTGTTTTTGCGGTTGGGCTTGGGGTCTAAACCAAGGTTTGGGGTTTGGTTTGGGCCAGGAGAAAGAGCACGGCATGTTCTGGAGCAATGTTTTTGAGGGGTGGATCACCTGGGTGCTGTCTCTCACACGAACCTGTACTTGCGAACGACGAGATTCATAGTGCACCCCCCGTGCGCCGGTTCCGGTTTCGGGTTGCAGGGTGAATTCTAAACCCTAAACCCTAAACCCCTGAAACACCCAAACCCTAAACCCTAAACCCTAAACCCTAAACCCTAAACCCTAAACCCTAAAACCCTGAAACCCAAACCCTTATAAACCCTTAAACCCTGAAACCCTAAACCCTAAACCCTAAACCCGAAACCCTAAACCCCCAAACCCCCAAACCCTGAAACCCTAAACCCTAAACCAAAAGTCGGCCCAGGCGCTGGGTATAGAAGCCGGGAGCGTGGTCAGCGATGAGATCATCCAGATCACGAGAAAAGCTACAAACTTCCTTAGTTGGGGGAATACAGTAAGGGTTTAGGGTTTAGGGTTTAGGGTTTTTAGGGCCTTGAGAGTTAGAAAAGAAAACAAGAAAAGCTACAAACTTCCTTAGTTGGGGAATACAGGGGCCTTGATAATTAGAACAGGATTTGGGAAATACAGGGGCCTTGAGAACTAGAATTGGGTTGGGTAATACAGGGGCCTTGAGAATTAGAATAGGGTTTGGGGTATATTATACTATATCTACAATAAGGAACCCCGCAAAATGGTATAGGTAACTATTAAGGCGCCTACATTATGGAATACCCCAAGGAGAAGCAGGGGCCAAAACAGTCTGAAGCGAGAGCCCAGCTTCAGCATGATAGGGTTGTCTCCAAGAAGAGGCGCTGCGAACCCCATGATGTTTGTTAACCACGCGGTGCTCCAATTGGGAAACACAAGCTGCAAAACGTCCCACATGGTGGCACAGAGAAGCTCCAGCAAAATGCTGCAGAGCAGCCAGGGAGCAAGCCAAAGTGGCAACACGTCAACCTTCTCCACACCTCCATGCCGGGCAAAAGTGGCCAGCTCTAGATTGCACCACAGCCTTGGATTCCCGTAAAAGCCCTCTGTTCTGTACCACTGCCCATCGTACCAAGGTGTAAGCACAAATCGAGCAGAGTACGCTAAACCCTAAACCCTAAACCCTAAACCTAAACCCTAAACCCTAAACCCAAAAAGAATTATTCCAGAATCTAGCAACCTTTCGAAGTAGGATCCGTCACAGAGAATTAGCAGGCGCGACGAGCGCACAACGAAGGTGGGCACGGACTTGATTTGTTCGGCTTTCAGGTCCAAATCCGTCTGATGGATACACAGCCTGTCTATCCACACCGATGGAGACCACAGTCCAAAAGTTAGCTGCTGTCCAAAGAAGAAAGCAATGAAGAAGCTGGCCATGGGTAGATACACAAAGCAGGGAAGGAGAAGGCGACTTCCTCCAAGACCAGACACACCGTGCAACGAGATCATGAGCAGCACCACGAGGATCCAGGTGATCATGCAACACGCCACGGCCATCTGTAGGTTCAGATACCTCAGCTCAACCGTGGACCCTAAACCCTACACCCTAAACCCTACACCCTACACCGTAAACCCTAAACCCTAAATGGCCATCCGTAGGTTCAGATACCTCAGCCGGCCATCCTGAACCCAAAAACCCCGTGGAAGGACCCAGAAAAGCTGAAAGACACCTCCGCTGGCCACGCAAAATGCCGAAGCCTAAATTCATAAGTACTATTAGGGTCTAGGGTTTAGGGTTTAGGGTTTATTATCAAATCGGGATGCCCGCATACCCAGAGACTCCAAAAGCTCTTCATCAAGGAATATATCTACAAATTACAGAGGTATCCTAAATATGAGTTACGGTCAATTCCTCGACTAAGGAGGTTCGGAGTCTCTGGGGAACCCTAAACCCTAAACCTTATAATATAGGGGCCTTAATGCTTAGAATAGGGTTTCGGGGCCCATTATGCTATAAGTATTATAAGTATTATAAGGAACCCCCAAAGTAGTATAGGTAATTATTTAGGCCCCTACATTACCCCCAAACCCTAAGCCCTAAACCCCAAACCCCTAAACCCTAAACCCTAAACCCTACCTCCAAGGCAGGCCCAAGAGTTCCAACCGCAAAGCCATTGCTAAAGCTGAATTTCTGGCCCATCTGGGAGTTTCAGAAAATTAGGGTACCTTATTTTGGGGTCCTTATAATAGGGATCCTATTAATTAGGGTACTATATTAGGGTCCCCTATTTTCGGAAACCCCCATCTGATACTACGTTTAGGGTTTAGGGTTTATAGGGATTATACGCACGCACTTTGCCCTCCTAAGCAATCTTGATGCTAGAGTACAGGCCCCTAAACCATCTTAAACTCTGAACCCTACCCTTTGCCCCCCCCCTAGACACCTTAAACGCCTTAAGCCTCAACACGAGACTGACAAATGCCGCGTGACACACAGAGCGCAAGAAGCTTCTCCCACCGACCTGCCGCTCAAGGCTGCTGTCTTGTCTTTCAGTTGTTGCAGGAACATAGAGTGCTAAATCCAAACTAGAGAAATTTACCACCCGAAACCCTAAACCTTAAACCCTAAACCTTAAACCTTAAACCCTAAACCCCAAACCTTAAACCCTGAACGAAGCCTGTCAACGTGAATTCGCTTTGTCCCAGCCCTCAAGCCTAAACCCAGGGTAATGTAGGGGCCTTAATAATTAGAATGAGCTTTTTTTGGGGGTATATATTCTACTATAGTTGTAATAAGGAACCCCCAAAATAGTCCCTAAACCCTAAACCCTAAAACCCTCAATAGTACTTTGGTGAGTATCTAAGGCGCCTAGATTAAGCCCTGAACCGAAGCGTGCTCGGCAAGCGAAGGGCAGGCCTTAGCCCGGTTTAGGGTTGCGGGCTTGCGGGTATATGGACATCATTCAGTTTAGGGTTTAGGGTTTAGGCTTCAGGGTTTGGAGTTTAGGGGTTTAGGGTTTAGGGGTTTAGGGGTTTAGGGGTTTAGGGTTTGGGGATCATTCAGAGGCCTGAACAGCTACCAATTATGTCTGTATGCAGTTAACCACAAGCCCTGTGTAACGTTCAGAACCACATTTTCAGGTAAAGGCTGTAATCCAGAGGCCTTAAAAGTTGGAACAGGGCTTTGGGGTATATCATACTATACTTAAAATGAGGAAGCCCCAAGATTATGTCGGTAGTTATTTGAGCCCTATACTAGGGAGGTTTCGCGTTTCAGGAGGGGTTTAAGGATTGTGAAGGACGTGGGGAGCAAAGGTTTAACGGGTCAGAGGCATCATCCAAGGTGGTAGCCGGAAACACGGTTTAGGGTTTAGGGTTTAGGGTTTAGGGTTTAGGGTTTAGGGTTTAGGGCTTAGGGTTTAGGAGGAAAGGGCGCAAGGGCTTAGGGTTTATGGTCAGGGTTAAGGTGACTGCGAACCAGCACATCGGGCAGGAGTGCTAACCACCCTTCGCCCAACTACCCTCCACGAACTCCCCCAAAATCAGGAACCCTCAGAGATATGGTTGATGATATAAATCCTGCATTACCCATAGTCAGGAAAGTAGGGTCCCTAAGGTAATGCAGGATTTATATCATCAATCGTAGTATGGGTAATTCTTTGGACCCCATGTTCACGAACTTCGCTCCAAGAATGACTGCCCCTAAACCCTAAACCCCAAACCCCATATACAGGACCTGCGCTCCAAGAATGACTGACGAAGAGGTCCACGCTGCTTGTCTCCACGGACGAATTAAACCTGGGGCCAGCTGCGATTTGATATGCGATGCTTCATATGGGTAGCGCTCCAAGTTAGTGTCCCTTTTAGGGTCCTTTTTATCAGGGCGCCGTACTGTTTTGGGGACCCCCAAAACGGACCCTAATTTAGAGAACCACCCATATTGGTTCAACAATGTGATTTGCTTCGATGTAAGCTGGAATGGGCTCTTGCAAAGTGTACTTAGGTTCTATAAGGATTGCTCTTGGTGGAGAGATTGCTATTCTTTCTTGGGTTGGACATACCCCAGACAGGCAGGAACGCTCAACGTTAACTAGCTTGATTCCTTTACTGCAGGGTTTCAAAGGGGATCGCTGTAACAGCGCAGTTGCGGTTCATGAATACGTATGAGACAACTAAACTCCATCACATGTCAATTGAGACCACCCCGCCCACAAGGACAAGTGCTCACTTCCACATGTAGCAGCGACGCCAGCAGCAGTCACAATGTTACCACACGGACACAGCTCTAGATGGCCAGATGTTCTACCTAAGTATACGTCACCCCGCGACCTCGGCTCGGTCTGTGGCCCCGGTCTAATCCATACATCCTACACCGTAAACCGTAAACCTACCTGAACCTCAAATAAGACACCTTTTTGAGGAATGAAAGGACATCATAATAAATGAAGATTTATATGGTCGAGGAAAGCCCTATGAAATCCAAAACCTGGGACCTAAGGAACAGCGCAGCACCCGCAGTGCTCATTATTTTCATGCGAAAAACACGTAAACTCTATTGAAATTATTAGGGTTACGGGCTTCGGGGAGGCTCAGGGAGCCTGCGACCCAAGGAGCAGGGTATCTCCTGCTTCCTGCATCTGCTCCCTCGTCGGAAATCGGATACCACGGAGACCGCCGGCCAAGAGAAGCGTTTGAAGGTCCTGGTTGAAGATCATACCAAAACCTGGGTCTGCAGTTCAGGGTCTAGGCTGTAGGGTTCAGGGTTCAGCGTTCAGGGTTCAGGGTGTAGGGTTCAGGGTTTAGGCTTTAGGGTTTAGGGTTCAGGGTTTAGGGTCTAGGGTTTAGGGTTTAGGCTTTAGGGTTTCGCGTTTAGGGTTTCGGGTTTAGGGCTTAGGGTTCCCGTAAAACTCAAGGTTCAGGGCGTAGCGTCTACAGTTTAAGGTTCAATATAGAGGCCTGAATCATTACCTACAATGTGCGTTATTGCTCCTGACTACAAGTAAATGATAATATTCGAAAGCTACGAAAAGCCGGTAATATAGGGGCGTTCATAACTAGACTAGGGCTTTGCGGTATGTTCGTGTTTCTATATTAAGGAACCGTAAGGGATAATATTGGTAACCATTCAGGGTTCTATCGTAAGCCATGAAACTGGTCAGCAGCTGCCGAGTTGTTGTGGCGCGCAGCGAACTCGCTGCTCCTGCTTAGGCTTTAGGTTTAGGGCTTACCTGGATGCTTACGTCTGAAGGCTTGGATGAAGTTATTCCTGTGGGATTTAGGTTTTTGGGGTTTAGGGTTTAGGGGTTTTAGGGTTCTGGGTTTTAAGGTTTAGGGTTTTAGGGTTTAGGGGTTTAGGGTTTACGGGTTTAGGGTTTAGGGAAGTTGAGGCCTGTGTGATTTAGGATTTTTGGGTTTAGGGATTAGGGGTTTTAGGGTTTAGCGTTTTTAGGGCTTAGGGTTTCAGGGTTTAGGGGTTTAGGGTTTAGGGGTTTAGGGTTTTAGGGAAGTTGAGGCCTGTGGGATTTAGGGCTTTAGGGTTTTGTTAGGGTCAGGGCTCTAGGGCTTTAGGGATTTAGGGGTTTAGGGTTTAAGGATTTAGTGTTTAGAGTTTAGGGGTTTTGGGTTTAGGGCCGTCTGTATTGCGGGTCAGAATAAGGGCGATATTTCAATATATTATACATATCATCCACCTGTTGCAGGACCCATCCTTAAAGAAATCCTACTTAGAGGATCCTGGGGCTTAGCAACTAGGGCTACTTCTAGGGTATGTAGTACGAAACCCGACACCCCAAAACCAGAAACCCTAAAACACTAAAGCCACAATTTAAAACCTTAAAACCTAAAAAACCTGAATCCAGCGCCGCAAAGCACGGCACAGGCGCCTCCATCGATCGCATCGAAAGGGCCACGAAGGCGGTGCCCAGAAGGCGGCATTGCTCAAGGGCGAAAGATCTTGTTTATGACAGGGAAGGCGGGGGTGGGCGGGCCTAAACCCTGCAAACCCTAAGTCCTAAACCCTAAACTCTGAACCGGCCGGGTTCAGTGTCTCGCGGTTTTGGTCTTCATGCCTTCAACTTTCAACTCCAAGTTTTAGGGGGGGGTGGGGGGGTGGTCCTTACTATGGGGGCCCTAATGAATCGAGTAGGTTTCCCTTGAAGAGTTCTGTCAAAGGCTATCGAGGATCTAGAAATATGTAGGCGACTTAACAAATAGAAGAGCCAGTGGCAGCTAGTGCTCCGCGGTGCATCACAGTACACTCTCAGAGAGCCCAAAAATCCTTTACTAAGGAGTATGCCTTAAACCATAATATTAAGGTCCCTATAATTTAAAGTATATCCCTTAATAAAGAGGTATGGGGGTTTATACAGGGACCCTTCCGAGCCCTTAACTACCACCCTAAAGCCTAAACCGGCCCCCTGCTTGCAGAGCTGAGCTTCTCCACGGTTTAGGGTTTAGGGTTTAGGGTTTAGGGTTTAGGGTTTAGGGTTTAGAGTTTAGGGCCCTAGACAGCTGGCCTTCTGTTTGCAGAACTAAACTCCTACACCCTAAACCATCACCACTAAACCCCTGAACCCGGAAACTCTAGCCCCTAGCCCCTAGCCCCTAAACCCTAAACCCTAAACCCCTGAACCCTAACCCCTAAACTCCTGCTGCTGAATCGCACCTCAAGCCTTGTTGTATGCTCAGAGACCTGCTCATTAAGGGCTGGGTTTGCGGGCTTGTTGGAGTTTGGGGTTTAGGGGTTTAGGGTTTGGGGGGTTTAGGGGTAGGGGGGTTTAGGGGTAGGGTTTAGGGTTGAGGTTAAGACGTGATTTAAGTTACCACACAACAAGGAAGCCACATTAGGAACTATAAATCCCTATTATGGCAGCTTAGATCAAATTCCTTGACCAGAACCCAGTTTAGTGCATCGGGTTGGTTTGATTGCTCTGCGTGTTTACGAAAGGAAGGTGGTAGGTTTGAGGTGTTCCGAAATATCTGGCTGCAGGCCCATACTGGGCCGAAGTTTGGGTCTAGGGATTGAGGTTTTGGGGGTTACCAATTCGCCAATACGTGCTAGGCCCAGAAACCCAGAAGCAATACCCAGAACCCGAAGCCATCAACAAATCCGAAATCAATCCCAAAGCCGAAAACCTCAAGGCCCAAAACCCAATTCGGAGGGTTCCGCTTTTTGGGGGGGTATTTTCAGGGTTAAGGGTTTCGGGCGGGTTAGGCCCCAAACCCTACACTGGTTTCTTGTTAAGGAATTCGGTCTAAGTTTCCACAATAAGGGGTCTATAGTAAATAAAAGGGCTCCCCTATCATGGTAACAGACAAGAGAGGAAACAAGAACTCAGTAAGCCCCGAACCTTAAACTCTGAATCCTAAGGCTAAACCCTGAGCCTAAGTAACATTTTAAGCCGATAGGCTCATTCAGGGGGCTCGCCAAAGCAGGCCAATGGCAAGCCACTTTCGGCGCCCATTGCCTTCGATGGTTTAGGGTTGTCTTTGGAGTTTAAGGTTGAGGGTTTAGGGTTTAGGGTTTGGGGTTTAGGGTTTAGGGTTTGGGGTTGAGGGTTCAGGGTTCAAGGTTTAGGTTTGAAGCTTAGGGTTGGGACTCCTTGGAAAAATAGGTGCCGAAGCCATGAAACCCTAAACCCTAAACCCTAAACCCTAAACCCTAAACCCCAAACCCTAAACCCTAAACCCTTTCCTGAATCCTCACCCTCGGGAGTACGAAGAGCAACCCAAAGAACGAGCCATACTGTTGATGATATAAATCCTGCATTACCTTAAGGACCCTTAACTATGGGAATTATGGTATATTCCTTATTATGGGTAATGCAGGATTGATATCATCAACCGTAGGATGCTAACGCGACTGTAGCGATGCCCAGAGAACCCACTACACCTTAATTAAGGAAGATACCTGAAACTATAGGGGCCTTCTTATTATGATGTAAGGTATATTCCTTAACTAAGGGGTATTGGGTTCTCTGAGTGACTGCTAGTATGTTACGGTCTAGTTAAGTTAAGAAACCCTAAGGACATAATGTTGGTAACTACTCAGGCCCCTGCATTACATACGGACTCGGTGAGGTTAAGGTTTAGGGCTTAAGGTTTAGGGTTTAGGGTTTAGGGTTTAGGGTTTAAGGTGTAGGGGGTTAACACATCATCCAGAAAAGAGAATCAAACATTGCTTACTGCACTACCGTGCTGCCTGATAAGTCGCGACCTGTCGTTTGACACAGCGACATGATGCCAGGTTTTCCTGGCCGTGCCTGTCCCATCTGTAAAACAGGCAGATGCTCTGGATGAGTAAGAAAGTCATCGCCAGCAGGAAAAATGTGAGCTGAGTTGGAGAGTAGTCCTCCACAACACTAATCCAAGTGCCCCAGATCAAGCCGCCACACATATAGGTGTACTCGTATACCAGGATGCAGCACAAGAAAGCTGCACAGCGCTGCACTGGACCATCGCCGAAGGAGAGAACACATTTCAGCATCCGAAGCATGACAGGATAGGTGAGCGGGAATGCCAGCACAATGTTAAGTGACCAGCCCATCACGTCAGCTAGTATGTACTGTAGAGTCGAGGAACAGCCTGCCAGCCTCGCAGATTCCTCGCAAGAGCCGTTGTCGCAGCCCAGCACGTTCACGGAGGAATACAAGATCATCGGTAGGCATGTAGTTAGACACAATGACCATTGTACGAAGATTTCATCGCCTATCTGCATCATGACAATGTCACGAAGGACACCTGGGGTATTCTGCAGGGCCTTGATCCTTTCTCCTACAACCGTTCTTATTGGGGTTTAGGGTTTAGGGTGCTATCCTACTGTCATCGAAGAGCCCTCTGCCTCGAACGTAGGCATTGAAGCTGTCAAGCGGATTACCGGTGGCCTTGTGTCGCACAAACTGCTGAACCTGCACCTGCACAAGGTTCGGAGTGCAATATAGGGACTTTTCTTGGGGGCTCATAAGGGGATACTAGCTTAATTCCACAGGGGCTTTGAGGGAACAACATTACTTACTATATATTCCGATCCCCCATATAAAGCTTGAATTGGCTCGGCATTGCTTGCGGCAGAGCCCACACCGCCCCGGGCCAGTCATGCCCACAAATGCGACTTGGACTTCGGGACTATGTCTCCGGGCTTCGACAGTTTAGGAGAGTTTAGGGTTTAGGGCTCAGGGTGTCCATGCTTGAGTTCTGGAAATGGAGGATGAACCTTTGTATCGAGGGCTCCACCTCTAGACCCTAAAGTCCTAAGGCATTCCAGTACGCTCAACAAGGCCCTGATAGATCCCCTTATAAGAACCCTTATCGTGTCCTTATGGAACCCTTCTGGTACCCTGAAAGAACCCTCACAGTACTCAAATATAGTCCCCTTATCGAACCCTTTGTGTACCAACAGTCGGAAAAAACCTAAAAGCTCCGATGGTTCGGCCCAGCCTCGCCGTCATCCACGGCATCAGAACCGAGAGAGGATAGGTCCTGGTTGCAAAATATCTCCTGGAGCTGCATGGGGAAGGATTGAGTTTCATATCGGTGCCTAAATAGTTACCTATACTATTTCTTTTGGGGGGGTCCTTTATTATTATTATTGTATAATGTACCCCAAACCCCCTATTCTAAATTAAGGCCCCCTATATTAGGGGGTTGAGGTTGGCTAGGAGGTGCGGAGGGTTACTGAGTAGTGCCGACATCCAGAGCAACTGAACCAGCTCTGGGCACTAGAAAGAAGCCCGGTTTAGGGTTTAGCGTTTAGGGTTTAGGGTGTTCTCTTCGCACTTAAACCTCATGCCTGCGCCCGAAACCCTAGACCCTAAAGCCTAAACCCTTAAACCTCAATAGGGGCCAAAAGCTATCACTGTGCTTTCATGTTCGATTTGTCTGCGTCGTCTTCTGGGTTTCGCACAGCTGGGTCTCAGGTGCTGTGCGGCTTCGCCTCTGCTGCAAGGCTGAGCTGGTGTATGCGTAGAACAGTGCACGACTGCAACAGGTCAAACGTCATTACAGTTACGATAATGATGAAGCTAGTTCTGTTCTTCTGTAATCATATGCTTGTACATAGTCTTGAATAAACAAACGTAGTATCGCGACTTGACCGGGTGGGCGTTAACAATTCCAGACATGGACCATGCCCTTGGCCAGGTTTTACCGACCTTGTGAGTTTCGTCAGACGCTCAGGGTTTAGGGTTTAGAGCTTAGGGTTTAGGGTTTAGGGCTTAAGGTCTGTTTAGGGTTCAGGGCAGGGCTTAGGGCTCAGGGCAGGGCTGTCAGGGTTTAAGCTTTGCCTCGGCTGTGTGCTTCTGCGTCTCGTTGTCACTGATGATGTCAGGGTTGGGCCGTGGTGGCGTGGGTTGGTGGGCACCCTTTTGACTCTTGTCCACACCCACCCAACCCTAAACCCGAAGCCCTAAACCCCAAACCCTAAGCCCTTGATGGGCAGGGGTTGAAGTTCAAGCCACACGGCAGGAAAGCCCTAAACCCAGAAATGCGTTCATCCGCCCGAAATCCCCCAGTTGAAGGCCAGAGATGGAAGGTGTAGAGTTTAGGGTTTAGGGTTAAGGGGTTGGTTTAGGGTCAAGAGTGCGTGACTTCTGAAAGTCGTCCTGCAGTTGCGTCTCGATGGCGTCCCGGTCCGAAGGCTCAGAGCATTTTGCTGCCCGGACGTCGAAATCTGCCATTAGATCCTGACCCAAGGACAGTTTGAGAGATTACAGTACATTATATAGTCATGGTATGTTATAGAATGTCATAGTGTAGCAGTGACCGCGTGACGGCACGAAGGCACGAAGACTGCTTGGGTTCAGGGCATGTGGAACCCCAAACCCTAAACCCTCAGCCCTAAACCCAGAGCACTACTAAACCCTGAACCCTAAACCCGAAACCCTAAATTACTAAACCCTAAACCTAGAGCCCTAAGCCCTAAACCTTAAACCCTTAAACCTAAGTCCTAAACCCTAAATGCGAAGCCCTAAGCCCTAAGGCCTAAGCCCTAAGCCCTAAACCTTAAACCCTAAAACCTAAGTCCTAAACCCGAAGCCCTAAGCCCTAAACCCTAACCCTAAACCCTAAACCCTTAACCCTAAGCCCTAAGCCCTAAGCCCTAAACCCTTAACCCGAATAGACCCGAAACTGTTGAAACCGAGGCCGAATGAGTCGATCTTACGAGGGACCCCAGAGGGTCCAAGTCTCTAACAATCCTATACTTTCCCAAAGACTAACCTATAGGTTTAGGGTTTAGGTTTTAGGGTTTAGGGTATACATGGCCCCTCAAAGCCTCTGAAAAATATTCGTAAATAAGATCCTCTGAAGCCCAATAAGGGAAAATATGAAATGTCCCCAAGGCCTACCTAGCATCACTACTATCCGAAACCTAAGAACCCAGTTGTTGGAGCCTTAGGGGGAGTTGAGGAGACCAGAGGAGAGGAGAGTGGAAAAGAGGAGAGGAGAGTGGGAACAGAAAAGAAGAGAGGATGGAAGGAGAGGATTCCGGCTGCCTTTCCGTTTGCTGCTGTGACTAGCAGTCTGATCAGAGCCCTGGCCTTTCGCGCTAAGATCCTGCTAGCATAACTGATTGTAGGATCGTTGCTAGCATCTGGTCATTTCAATCCTGGTATCAAGTGCCATGTTGCGAATCAGTATTGAGGCTGCTGCGGCTCTTGCACTGAACTTGTCGGTGTGGGATTGGCACCAGTCTGCTGATTCATATCAACATGCATATCATACTGCCCTCCTTGTATCAGCAGGATCTTTCCTTCAGCGGGGTACTATCCTGCTATTATTCGCGGAGTTCTCAGCATTGTCAAGTCTAACCGTAAATCAGGCAGGTCCGGTTTGCACGGTCGCCAATGAATGGCTATCACCATAATTGCCGCCACGGCCGGCAATGTCGCCATTAAATTAATAGCAAGAAAGACACTACGACTACGTACTACAATCATGTGCTAGCGTTGACATGGCAGTCGTCTCAAGTTGCAAGCCCGGGTTTAGGGTCTAGGGCCTGGGGTTTACCCCAAACCTCCCGCCCCCCCCCCCCTCCCCCCCGTCCAGGATAAGTTGATGATGTCGAATCTTCATGCGGAAGGAGAAGAAGCCTCATGTACATCCTAAGTCCACCCTGAGGGTCCAGGTACCTTAGAACCATATACTCTCTCAAGTACTCACCCACATATCTACTATCCTGGACCCGAGTACCTCACTATTGGGTCCTTTGGACCCGTTGGGTAAGTCCCTAAACCGATTTACCCTAAACCCTAATTAAACCGATTTACCCTAAACCCTAAACTCATTTACCCTAAACCCTAAACTCATTTACCCTAAACCCTAAACCGATTTACCCTAAAACCAAAACCGATTTACCCTAAACCCTAAACCGACTTACCCTAAACCCCAAACCCAAGTCGCTGAGAATCCAAACCACTCGTGGCAACTCCGGGTTCAGTTCAGCGTGTCGGGCTCCGGGCCGCGGGTTTAGGGTTTCATGTGGGGGGCCTTAATAATTAGAATAGGGCTTTGGGATCCACTATCCTGTAATTATCATAAGGAACTCCCAAAAGTAGTACTGGTAAATATTTCGGTCCCTACAATAGGTTAAAAACCCTTAACCCTAAACCCTAAACCCTAAACCCCACACCCTAAACCCTAAACCTAAAGATTGCGATTTATTCTTGCGCGGGGTTCAATCCTTCGGGCTCCGGGCTTGGCTCTTCGATGCGAAAGGCTTAAAGGGAGCCCCAAAAAGTTGGAAACCGGATTAAGGACAAATAGTGCTGGGATTCCCTATACATTACTCTCAGGGATTGAGGCTATTGGGCTTCCAACTTTTAAGCTTCTACTATAGAGTTGGAGGGCTTGGCTTGTCTACTTGGAGGTTCCCGGGTAGTTATAAGTAGGGTGATGAATCCCCTAAGTAGGGTTATAACTATAGCTACCCCACTTATAACCCCACTTCTAGCTACCCATGAACCTCCAAGTATGCCTCAGTGCCGGGGGTTTCGCGGTTTGGGGATTTCAAGTTTTGGGCTTCAGGGCTTCAGGGTCTAGGGTTCAGCGTTTTGGGGCTCAGGGTTTCTAGGGCCAGCGCCAAGGTGCTGGGAATCGAGCCCGGGAGTGTGGTCAGTGAAAAGGTCATCCAGATGATAAACCAGCCGACAAACTTCCTGGGCTCTGCAGTATTCAGCCCTAAACCCTAAACCCTAAACCCTAAACCCTAAATCCTAAACCCTAAACAGAGCCAGATCCCCCTTAAGCAAGTAATGTACGGTAACTTATGACTTAAGGCACACTACAGGTACTGGGCTGTCTGGACATCCCGAAACGAGAGCTGTTCACTCTATGCACCAACGTCCAGAAGAGCAAACAGAACAGTACTGAAGAGCCCAGCTGCTGCACTAGTGGGTTCTCTCCCACAAGGGGCGAAGCCAGAACCATGATATGCTGCTGCCACGCAGCACTCCAGTTGGGGAACACGAGCTGCAAGACTTCTATCATGTTCACACTGAGGAGTTCCAGTAAGATACTGAAAAGAAGCCAGGGAGCAAGCCACAGTGGCAACACGTCGACCTTCTCCACACCTCCATGCCGGGCAAAAGTGGCCAGCTCTAGATTGCACCACAACCTGCGACTCCAGCGGGAGCTTTCGGTTCTATATCACTGCATGTCAGTAGTAAGTAACCAAAACCCTAAACCCTAAACCTAAACCCAAACTCAAAAAGAATTACTCCAGAACCCAGAAACCCTAAACCCTAAACCCTAAACCCAGCAACCTTTCAAAGTAAGACCCATCACAGAGGATGAGCATGCGGGAAGAGCGCACCACGAAGGTCGGCACGGACTTGATTTGTTCGGCTTTCAGGTCCAGGTCTGTCTGATGGATGCACAGCCTGTCTAGGGTTTAGGGTTTAGGGTTTAGGGTTTAGGGTTTAGGGTTTAGGGTTTAGGGTTTAGGGTTTAGGGTTTAGGGTTTAGGGTTTGGGTCTGTCTGATGGATGCACAGCCTGTCTATCCAGATAGACGGAGACCAGAGCCCGAACGACAGCTCCTGCCCAAAGAAAAAGACCAGGAAAAATGCGGCCATCGGCAGGTAGACGAAGCAGGGGAGGAGGAGCCGACTCCCTCCCAAACCAGCCACGCCATAGAATGAGATCATCAGCACCAGGACCAAGATATAAGTGGTCATGCAACATGCGACGGCCATCTCCAGATTCAGATACCTGAGTTGGCATTAAACCCTAAACCTGAAAGCCCTAAAGCCCTAATGCAGAAGCCCAAATAAGTGCCAATATTATTGTCGGGGTTCCTTCTTATATTTATACTATAAAGGAGCCCAAAACCCTGTTCTAACTTCTTAAGGACCCTACACTCTCAACCCTTATAGTAGCCCTTATAGAACCCTTTCAGGAACCCTTTAAAGGAACCCCCGAAAACCCTATTCTAATTCTTAAGGCCCCTATATGAAACCGAATTCAGGACTGCCCTAAACCCTGAACCCTAAACCCTAAACACCAAACCCCAAGCCCTAACCCTAAACCCTAAACCCTCAAGCCTAAAGCCTAAAGCCTAAACCCTAAACCCTAAGGACCCTAGTTTAGACAAGAAGTCTGAAGAGCCAAGGTCCCGACCTCAGGCCCCGAAACGTGGAAAGCAAGCCCCGAAATCGGGAAAGCCCTGCTCCGAAATCTGCAACCCTAGGCTTCAGGGTTTAGGGTTTGGGGTTTAGGAAACAAAGCCAAACCCCTTCCCCCCTCAGCCTGTGAAACGCTGTCGCCTCAAAAAACCCTGAAGCCCCATTGACCCGACGGGAATGCACTGAAACACTAAAACCCCGGAGCCCTAAACCCTAAAAACCCGAGGGTTGGCTTTTAGGATTATATTTAGGGTTTAGGGTTTAGGGTTTAGGGTTTAGGGTTTAGGGTTTAGGGTTTAGGGTTTAGGGTTTAGGGTTAAGGTAAGATAAAAGCGCCTGCTGCTTCTGAAAAATGTTAGAACCAAGAGTGCAAAATAGGGGTCCCGTGCGGCGAAGCTCTTGGTACGTAGGCTCTCTCGCATGCCATGCTGCGCCTACATGGTTTAGGGTTTAGGGTAGTTCAATACACTTCTTAAGCAATCCTGAGCCTTCAACGTGTAAACCCCCTGACAAATGCCGGGTGACAGACAGAGCGCTAGAAACTTCTCCCAGCGACCTGCTGCCCAAGGGTTTCGGGTTTAGGATTTAGGGTTTAGGGTTCAGGGTTTAGGGTTCAGGGTTTAGGGTTCAGGGTTTAGGGTTTAGGGTTTAGGGTTTCGGGTTCAGGGTTCAGGGTTTAGGGCTTTGTGTT